CGCATTTACATCGTCCATTGCGTATCTTGTATCATAGGACCAAGTATACACACTGTATACATATATAATTGGATAATTCTTACATATATTCTCAAATCCACAAAAATAACAAAATCAGGCAAGAGAAGAATTTCAAATTTCTAATATTTCTTTTGACAACTTTTTTCTATCACAAATCCATATTTTTGTTTCTATTTGCACATTAAACATACAAACAGACCGAGATTACTTTCACATATACATATATATACGTATATTTGCCTTTGTTGAAATTAATAAAAAGGGGCTACGCGATTCCGATAATCCGACTGCGATAAGCGAGTATTACCAAGAATTATCATGAATCATCAGTGACAATAGTATTTGCCAGATTTGAAATAATTAAATTTTCCCCGTTGACCTCCTTATCACGTGTAACGTAACCTAACAAAAATAACACGTAAATTTAACCCCCGTCGAGAAAGCCGACCAATCGTGCGCATATTGATTGATAAAGATTTTACATATTATAATAAAGCACAACCCCAACAAACTGAAAATTCCGTGACCCTAATCAAATTCCTTTTTTCTCTTCAATAATTAAATTTATAATTATTCTCACCGTTAAAGTCATTCATAAATTTTTCATGGTTCAACTTAGATATGTTACCGGTAAAAAAATTATTTATTTAATTGTTGCCTTTTATAGTCGTCTACAGCCAGCGCGTGATGTACGAAGGTTCGAGAAGATTTTCCAGGCGATATGACAGATAACGGTAACGCAAGCTCACCAACTCACATACGGCAGCGACGGCTCTCTCGCCGTAGAGCTTTTAAAGCTAATAATAAATGGAGCTACGATTGTCACAGCAAGAATAACAAAGCTCGTGAGCTGCACGTGACGAGCTTGCGTCCTGATAGGCAGCTTTTCTATGTCTCGTTAACTGGCTACGTTCAAGTTTAAAATACTCGTGAAACTTTTGCCTTTCAGCAACAAAGTCGATGCCCAACACGCGTTTACACTATTAGACTACATTTACTATAGTTGGTACTGTTCGAAGTAAATACAGTAAATATTCACAAGCTTATATTATAATATGAATTTTTGTACAATATTGCAAAATATTAACAGATTTATAGTGCCCTAATAAATTAATCGATAAAAAAAATTCTAATCAGATATTCATCCCTTAGACGTACTTTGCTAATATCTGAGCCACGTGTTATTTGTCATGATCGATATATATCGTTATTTATTGCTCTGAAATCGATATGGCAATCATTTTTCTTGGATACTTTTTTATTACCCAACACCACCGAGCTGAGTTATCGTACCCCTTTTCCTTTACAGTCTACGTTACACCGGGTAATGGATGGCAGGGGGTGGTAAGGGGGTGGAAGAGAATGACGAAATCGAAGGAAAAATATGTACAAGGAATGCACAGTGGTGGCGATTGACTTTGTGGAAAATTGTCAAATAAATAAGGCTTACCCGCTGTCCTCGGGCGGAAGAAAGATGGCGACAGATAGGGAGAGGAAAAGTTCGAGGCTGGATCCTCCCGTCCGCGAGGACCCGTTTTATTGGGGGATGATTTGTGGGGATTGCGTCGAATCGCCGAGCTACGAGAGGATCTCTTGGTCCATTCCTCATCCGGAGGATTTGTCAGGTCATTTTTGTCGTTTGTTTTGTATTTTCGAAAGACTGCACGATTTCTGACTCGAAACCAAAATATTACGTAAATGCCTTGTAAGCTCCGGCATAAAAGATGGCAGCTTTTCGTTGGATGTCAGATGAGAACAAAAAATTTTGAATTTAACGTCAGTTGCGTTTTCATAAAATTTATCTGGACTCGTCTCTCATTTATATGCAATTTCAAGTGAAAGCTCTGCCGATCATCAGGCGGTAAAAGCTCTACGAATCAATCAGGTGGGAACAATGGGAAATATCATAGAGGTGGTTTAGGGGGAGTATGGCAGCACAAACGGTACGTTTATACAGTCGTTACGCGAACGACCATCCTTTAAGGTAAATCCGGACTAGTCGAGTGAAACAAACCGTAATTCAGTCGTTTACCGTAACCGTCTTAACAGCTAAGTTCAGGCTTGTAATAAATGAAAGCTTTTGTCTTGCCAGATCCCCCCGTGCTTTAATCTTGGGCTAACCGCAAGCTTCTAGAAACGAAGGACAATACAGTTGATCAAATTCTCAAGAAATAAGCGCGTAGGGGTTCAATTAACAAATGGGCCGCAGTCAATTGGAAAACTGTTTGTTGTTTCGTCATACCGCGAGGATCTTGCAAAGGCATTAGGAACGATTTCGAGGGTTTTCAGTGGAAAATGGAAATTTAGTGGGTTATAATTATTTTTTTTTAATCGCCTTGTGCTCCAATTCCACTTTTAGAAAATAATCGGGGAAAACACTGGCAACACATGGTAACGTCTACCTAGCTTGATCGCATCTCGAGCAAAAGTTCTTTTGCAGTTTAGTCACTGATCCGAATGATCACAAGCGATATATATAGATAATTGGCCATCAAAAGGGATTTTATTGAATGACATCCTTTTTTTTATTTATACTTTTTTTTTAAGTTCATCTTATCTAATAAAATTATCGTGAATAGGGATCGAGACTTTGACGAATTTAGTAATGATATTCGTTAGGATTCATTTTCTGGTTACCTCGCGAGCAGGAGGCAATTTCGAAATTGATGGAAAATTGTGTATTCGATTAATGTTTCGTAAGTATTAATTCCTGCTTTGTTGATTAGTTTGTTGTTCTATTTGTTGGAAAAATTTAATTTGATTTTAATTTTTTTGTCGTTTATATATACCAAATAGTTTTAGGGTCAGATGAATTTTGTTCGTTAGTATTTCCCAGGCGCGATTACAGCTTTGCCTCATTTTCACAACACCCGTTAGATTCTATGCTTAATCCAAATAGTGTAGCGTAATGGAAACGGTTTAATTAACCTTCGGTCTTAAACTCGACCGCCGCGGGATTACCGTGACTAGTTTTCTGCCCTGGATGGATTAATTATTTTTTTTTATATATTTATGCTAAACATTCGGAGCAACGATCTCATTTGAAATAACCCATGCCTTTCGCGTAGATAAATAATATGGATCGGATATAATTATTTTTACGACAAAAAACTACTGTGCGATTGGTTAAAAATTTTTTTTTCTTAAAAAAGCTCTTTTGAGTAAAAGAATAAATGACGATACCATGTAGGGATACAAGCTTGCCACTGTTATCTCTGAGAAAATGTTATGTAAAAGCTTAACCTAAAAGCTGTACGAGCTTTGCCCTTGAGTATATTCAAAATAAAAAACATTCTAAATAAATGCCTGGAAAAAATAAAATTGAGAAAAAAGTAGCGCCGTGGAATTCAAAAGTCAACAATAGATCCCATTGACTAGGGAATTTTTCATTGGCGATTATTAAAGAAAAAAAAACTATGTAATTTCATACTAAACAAATATTTATAATCATTTTTTAAATTCAAATCCCTTTCATGATAATTTTATATTATACAAATCACACTATTCGCGTTATCAAAATTTCTAAGGAGTATAAAAAATGAGAAAAAATTTTAGAGACTCTTCACGGGATCGAACGTCGGCTGCCGTCGGTCTGATTTTTACGGGTGTCAGAGTGTCGCGTGAAATATTTGGTGCGTTAATTTACATCGTTTACGAATAAAAATACAATTTAAATCTCCTAAATCCGCTCGCCAATTACTCCAGTTTCCCTCTTAAGTCTGTCCAATCTCTTTTTCCGGTCTCCTTGGCTTGGTATTATCTATTTTAATTTCTGGCAAAAGCTCGAGTAATATTTAAACAAGAATATAATGAGCGAACGTGACCGTAACAAATTTTGAATCTCGCGCCGTTTAGGCTTAAGGGAAATAAAAGGAAGGGTTATATAACCAACGATAAAAACCCATATTCAGCACCCTCTCGTTCGGCTGCCACATTTATTCTCTAATCTAATAAAGAAATGAAATCTCGTGAGATTCTTCAATAAAATGGATACCTCTGGCTTAACCGTTTTTGATCTTCTTGGTCCGTCAACAATAGCTACAATAATCTCAAACGCGGACAAATAAATTGTCATAATCGATCAAGCATAAGAACACTTCATGTTAGCAATGGTCCATTTCGCACTTGAATAGATATACCAAATAACACGGTTGAATTATCCACGTATAAAATGAACACGGTACAATGTGAATCAAAATTAATTTTAACTAAATAAATTTTTATAAATTACTTTTAAGATTATACATTTTATGGGATCTAGCAGGCGTGTATATAATTTCTGATCGAGCTCGTTCGAACGAATTCGAAATCAATAAAACGATTTTTTTATTCTCAATTGACAAACTCGCCGAGCTTTTATCCGGCATCAAAGTCACTTTGAATACTGGACCGGTGCTTTTCGCATCTTTCGCTTTCTCTATAAATGCTATTATCGCTTATAGACGATAGAATTGCAGTAATCAGATGTACGAGGCGATTGTCATATAGAAAAGATGAATTCAAGCAAAAAAAATATATATATATGCTAATTTATGACAACATTTTTATTCACTTCCACTTTGCTAATTAGATGAAAAAAACGATTGAAATACGATATCGAATTGGGGATTAAATTAAAAAAATTGGCGATTTGCATTTTCAAGTATATCACAGGTATCTGTATATACTGTAAAATTCGAATTAAAAAACTTTTAATAAAATTTGGATTTACGAGAGTCTCGTTGGGCAATAATTAAAAAACGATAATTCCAATCAGTGAATCCGTTCAGCATTCTTATATAAATAATACGAACATTCCCTAGGTACGATAACAAATTTTTAATTATTTCTTTCACAATAATTTGACTTTTCAAAGCCACCGATTACTTTTAGTAATTGAAGTAAAATTTTGACAACAAATTTTACATGCGCAACCACTTCAGATCTCGATGAAAAATTTAAGAGTAGAGAATAAATCTTATAAAATTGATAAATCTTACCTTAAGAAGAATCTTCAAGGCTGGATAAATGATTTTATAAGGTGAGCTTGATAATACAACAACAGTTCCAAAGATTTTTCAAAAAGAATTTAGGGGCAGCCGGCAACCTGTGAATCCAGCGTGGAAGGCTGCGAGAGACTGGCGCTCCGCGTGCTCGAACCTATACATAATCCGGTACCGGACTGACGTCACGGGTCCCACCAACCAATAAGAGTGACGCTAGGAAGGGGTTGTCGGTGTCAGCCCCACCAGCTCCGATTGCAGATGTACATGCAAGGTACCAGACACCTGGATGACCATGTCTCATCCTCCGACAGTAACTCCAGCTTCCTGTAAATTTATACAGTTAATGCAGTTTAAAAAATCATATGACAATTTTTCATTAAACAGTAGAGAAACATGTAAAAAAAAAGTATAACATTCAATTTTGATTTTTTATACAAAAAAAAATATATATCTGTACATTTGAAACTTTTCAAATAAAAATTATTGAACAAAAATTATTTCTTTGACCGTTTCAAATTTCATAATTCTTCTATAATCAAGATAACAGTGTTACCTACCGTTATCAGATATTTACTCCAATTTAAGATAATTCACAGTATCAGCCACGGCCTGGTACATAGTAAGTTTGAACTTACTATAATATTTGATACTGGATATATCGTTTACATGATTTTGATTTATGGTTATCAAAAATTGCGTAACGTCTGATAAATTTGCGAGCGCTTATTTTACTATGTAAAAAATAACAGTGTCTGTCAAAAGGAATACCTATAGAACTGATAAGAATTAATAATCTGTTATCAGTGCTCTAAGATTTTTCAAGATTCTTGGTATTAGGTTTTACCTCTTTCCTCGTATTATTTACTCTTTTTTTTTTGTCTATCAACCCTCCCGCTCTCTTCCACTTCTCTGTCATTATTATCATCGAATAAACGCTGCCAGACGAGTATCATATGAGCATCCAGGCAATATTGAAGCTCCCTGCGGAGAAGTATACCTGCAAGCTCCATTTCTTGAAAAGACTTTCTTATAGTAGAATCTGTCACCCCTGAAATTACCCTTCTGCCACACATGTAGTTTATAAAAAAATTAAGATAAAAAATAATTATAAAAATAATTCTGACAAAGGCTTACAATTCAGTTCCACTTCGAAGGGTCATCTTCCTTACGGCTTACAACGTAAAAGAGTCCCTTGATCCTAAAGTTGATTTCATATAATCCATGGTTTAGGTATGATCTTTCCTCAAGATTTTATTAGACTCTTTTTCTTCTTCTTGGAGTCTGTGGTAATGAGAGAAAAGGACGTTAGTTTCATGCTCGATATGTCGCAGTCGCGGTCCGTTAAGAATAAGAATTTCCCATTGACTAGGAAAATTCACCCCTTGTGGCCGGCGAGATTCTCCTAACATCTCATGGGGAATTTCATGTGAGTTGCATCATGCATTTGTAAGATTTTCCAACTTGGTCCAAAGATGCCAGGTAAGATACGTTACGATGCTTTCCTGTTGAAGTTATCAAATTACGTAAGATGCCGATTGAAGATCAGTCACGGATAAATAAAAGCCCCCGAGGCTCATCACGTTCACTCCTATTTATTCCCATCCTCGATGAGTTACTTACCGAGCTACCGAGTCATATCCCGTTACTGGTAACACGCCGGAAGTAACCCCAGATGAACTCAGCCTCATACTGATTCTCATCATCCAACCAATATCAACCTCCGAGACAGGAATATTTCTCAAGCAGCAAGCAGCAGAGAGAAACACCCTCCGAAATAGTCGACTGTAAAGACGCGATGCTCGTTTCTAAAGGAGGAGTCAACGTAGAGACCGGGGAATCCCCTAAGGCTCAACACTTAACTCGTTAAAGCCGTTGTTAGAGGTTTTTTTTTTAAAATCCTCCTGTCGGTTTCAAACGTTCTCACGCACAGCTTCCTCTCCGATTGGGTCCTAGAGGGCTTTAACAAGTTTACGTTAAATTTTAGAATTCAACCAACATGAATAGGAGGACTCAGGACGTTTAATTTTCATTGAATTTTACAAATGTTAAGAAGTCTCGATTTTTTGCGCGAAATTCGAAATATGGAAAACGAGTATAAGATCGACTGAAATTTACAAGGGTTCAGGATGAATGTAATGAGTGGTCGCAAATTGAATTTTCGTTTAGGCAAAAAATGGCTCTTGTCATATTAATTCATTTCTTTGATCTGTCATGAGAAAGGGATTAAACGTTGATTCTTCGTTAATGGATCTAAGAGAGGTATTGCCACATTTATTTTTTAGTATTCTTATTGTGTATGATTAATTATTTAATTATCAGATAAGTAATAGATGTATTTGAAAAATTAAATGTTACTTTTGTTTCTCATTCATTTGTACTACTAATTTTTAGTTATGAATGATTGCCAGTTTTTCAGAAATATAGTAAATATCGTAGACCGAGCATTATGGCTAATTATGAATTTATAAAATCGCATTCCTTTGTACTCGTATAGACAGGGTAGATATTTAAATTTCCATAGTCACCCTTTCGACAAGGCATGAAATTTTTCCAGATTTCCTTACAATTGTCAACTAAACTACCGTCTTTTAATATGGGACACAATTGTCCGAAATACTCAATGACAATTTTCACAGTCATAATAAACACAAGAAATAGAAGAAAGCAACAATTCAGTTATATGTATGAAAAAATGCATCGAATAAAAACAAATGAAATAAAATTCGCTAACCACGCGCTTACCTATGTTGGTCGAATAAATTTACTTTATTGAAGTAATAAAGAGCGTTCCGCAGTGATACGTGACTTATGCAAGAGCCACTTACAAGTATCGTTTCTGCATAGTATATTTTAGTTGCTTACTGTTGCCAGCATGTAATTTCAATTTCGCGTGTAACACCAGCTAAATTTCATGGAAACGTACAAAAACTTATAGGAAATAAACTCTTGATAGTGTTCACGAGTATAAAGAGGATTTTTCGGGTGCAAAACGCTTTTTTTTGTAAAACTACATACCTTTGATAATTTGACTGTATTTTTTTATTCAATAGATGGATCGAATCTTCATATAGATTTTCTCATTACGGTCGATAAATTCAATCAGTTTGACGGTATTACATATTTATTATCTTCGTGATAGTCGAACGGAATTTTGATTCGGTCCTGGTTAGTAAACCGCGCGAACCATTACATTAGGACCTGGAGGGCAATAGAATTTACAAAGTCTAGTTAGAACATCAACCCTTTTAAAGCGTACATGCGTATCAAGTTAAAGCTCAAAGCAGACAAATTTACACATGAGGTACCATGCTAAATTTTCAATTTAGTCTTCCAGAATTTCCTTCGGAACATAGTGGTTCAAGCTAAAGTTTATTTTTCGTCTCGGGATGGATTCAAAGTACAAATAAATATATCCAAGTTGAAATGATAAAAAAATATGAATACTTACTTTCATTCTTATATTTCCGTAATTTCTCTATTTTTCTTGTTCTATTCATCTCGCAACACGTAACGAACTACGACCTGCTCATTATATTCAGCATGCAAGTGAGATCTGTTATTTCAAAGTGAGGAAAAATAAAAATTCGAAAAAACAATTTTAGGATTGACACTAATAGAAATTAACATGCATACTGTGATACGCTGTGTACGCAGAAACTATTAAATTTACAAAATTATATTGTAAATGGATAAAAAAAGCAATGCTTTTAAATAATCGCGTATCAGGTTCGCAAATGTGCCAAGTATATAAATAATTTAGAGTACAAGGAGTTAAATTGGTCTAATCAGAATATCGTTGGTACATAGTTAAAATAAATTTACGTTATCTCTTTTAATATAACAGACGCTATGGACTATTCACACTACATCAGTATTGGCTGATAAACGTAATGGAGAGTTCGTGTAGTGTTTGCTGCGAGAAAATATTGATGGCGATCTCGTTATTCATAATCTCAAAAACTGCCCTTTTATCCTATAATTATCAGCTCAGATTATATCCAACGATCGATCCCACGTGTTAGTTTAATTATTCACCTTGATTGTCACTTTTTTTTCACTTGACTCCTACCAATCCACTAGTACATCAGAATATTTTCTTCTTCGTTGCAGACAGTCTGTATTTTCAAAAAAACGTATTCGATTTATTTAACACCAATAAGACGTATATTCGAAAATTAAGTTTCAATCTTTCTACAGAGAAGATATACGTATTTACCAAATGACAAGTTATCGACTGGCGCTTGTTCTACAGCTATGACCATGAGGGATTCTGAAACAGTGACCATTTTTATACATTTTTGCAGCATTGACCAACATGGACGTTGAAAACATCTCAATATTATAAAATTTGTGACTCATTGCACTCGCGGTGCACTAATAGCAGATTCCCTATAGTATTTAGCTGATAATACTAAAGAAAATATATGAAAAATCTGTTCTGAGTGTGCATCGAATACAGCGATTGCTATTGCTATTTTATTAGTAACTGGTGGTCACTTCGCATTTTATATAATTCTTTTACAAACGTAGGGTCGAATATCAGTGGTTCTTCAATGACAGTTACGTCCATAATATTCTAGTTTAATTTGTTGTACATTCAATGCAGTAGGTCTGTTTCGTTATCTACACTTTCTGCACTTTTCAAAAAGTGCAGATTCTCATTGGTTACTTAAAAAATATCATTCAATAAGAATTTTCTATTGGAGGAACTGACTTTAGTGCGTAATCACAAGTTCAATGGGCGAGTGTTTTATCGCGCAACAATTGCTGTCAAAAGATTATAAATGGATAAAACATTACGAGAAATACGGAAACGTAAGGATCCTAAGGAATTAAAAAGCATCGTGGAGAATTCGGACATTGAAGAAGTACTTATACCTATACTTTATTTAAATCCTTGCTAATTCGTAGGTTATAACTGGCTGAAGAGATGAGAAACTGACAAGTGCGCGATATATTTAAATTTGACACTGATTTAAAGATATGTTTCAATACTTATGCAGAAATATATTATACACTGTCAAGTTTTGTTCATTAATGATAAAAATCTATTAAAAATAAATGTTATATCAGATTATTAGAATCCTTATGTTTATTACTTTGTAATATATGACCTATTAAACTAACAATACATTAGAATAGTCTGGAAGATTTTAAAGCATAATATACTTCTTTGGTTTGTATGTTGGAAAATGATTGTTGCTCATACATCATTTCATTCTACTTTGAAATGTTATTTTAGCTCTATGGGTTAATGATAAGAAAGATTAGAAGAGAAGATGCTTTAACGGTGCTTGATGATCTCCTACAAGCTTTTGCTATATCGGATCAAACAAAACGTTTCAAGTTTGTTGAAAAAGTTTTAAAGTTCCTGTGTAAAGCTGAAATTCAAAGTCAGCGAGTGGATATGATAATCAAACGAATAGCAGTTGATTTTCCACAATATTCAAAGGTCCACATGATAAAATTTGTTGAATTTTGTGAGTCAAACATAAGAAGCAACAATGACAATCATCGAAGGTGATTTCTTAAATATTTTTCATATTAATATAGTATACAATTCTCTATTGACTAAGTATGCTACATATTTGTGCCTATGATATTTTATAGTATACAGTAGATTTCACCTATCTAGAAATAGTATAATATATTATTCAGATACTAAGTCTTATTCTCCATTTAAGTTGGAAAGACCTACTGCCATTGCTACTTGAACGTTTAGAGGATGAAAACTATATTACCTATAATAACTCTGAAGTTTCTGGACTGGAATACAAGTCTCTTATTGTGGAATCAATTTGTAAAACTCAATGGATGCCTGATATTTTAATATCACTGGCGGAAATGTTTGTGTAAGTAAAACTCTAGGCAAAAAGAGGATCTATTGATTTTCACACTATTGATATTAGACATATTTTTAATAATCAGATGTCTGAAAACAATTACGTTCAGTTCAACTTTTCTATGTCTACCCTTTAGGGAAATGTCTTTGAAGCCAAAAGATCATGATATGGTTGTACGTGTTTTATGTAATAAATTACCAGAAGTGGAAGGTCAAGCTGTACCACCATTGGTTAATCAAATGTTGAAACTTTGTCGACATAGGGATGGAAAGCTTCTTTTTGGAACATTAAGAGAATACTTTACAACAAGGTTCGAGCAAACTTCAAGTAGTATGGATCTCGATGATATCGGTAATGTTGCAATCACATTCTTTTCACAAAAGAGAAACATTCTTTTCTCCACTTAATAAAAATACACTATAATTAATAAAATTACTTATTAGGTGAATTCACCTTGAAGGATATCTTAGAAATTGAAGGCAATGTTCTTTACCATATATACCAAGCTGCTCAACTGAGTCATAAGAGTTTAAAAGACTTTATTCACTTTTTAAAAACCGTGACAGACTCACCAAAATTTATTTTGAATCCCTTCATCTTTGCTATGTTACTGAACGTCGCAAATATATATGAGGATGAAGTAAGTTCTAACGTATGATATTTTATATTAACAGACCGTGAAAAAGTTGATCTTTAGAATCAAAATTTTGAAAATTTTGAATAGGTTTTTGAAATTCTGAAATCGGCTATAGCTCGGCGAATTCAAGACAATGAAAGAAGGAAGAATAGCACTTGGATAAGACAATCATTATCAGAAGATGAAGATATAATGTTGATTATAGAACGCATTATTGATTACAGGTGATATATACTTTCCAGAATTAGGGACAAATATATGTCGCATGCACCTAATGACCACTAATTTTCCGAATGATTATTTTAGTAAAAATCACAATCCAAACATACGGAAAAGTTTAATGGATCTGTCGTTCATATTGATGGACACCAAAAAATCTCCAAAAGTCAATGTGACTTCCTTGTGGGATATAGGTATAAAAATTATGCAAAAACTTGTGAAAAAGCAGCATGACGCAGTAGCGACAGTACTACAAATGTTAACGCAAAAAATAATCGCCGGCGGAACGTCTGTTACTCGTTATACTGGTAATTAGTTATCGTCAAACTTAATTATCTAGAAAAGAAAAATTGCCCAGAGAACATTTTAATATAAAACCGATGACTTTCTACATATCATTTTCTACATATTATTTTCAGATTGTTTAAGTTATTTGTGCCGTGAAAAAACAATGATAGTTCTTGATTCTGAAATTTGGGTGACTGGTCTTCTTGAACAATTGCTAGTGATTCCTGGCACAGCAGCCACCCAAGTTCTTTATTCCATAACTCCTTTAATGAGCACCTCAACAAATATCAGAAATACACTTGTTCTCGTGCTGCGCAAAGCTCTGTATAGAAAAGGATCGGAGTCCCGTCAGATGGCTGTGGTTGGTTTTTTGCTATTGATGAAAACATTGAAAACATCATCAATAAGCACACTTAGCCAGTCTGGAGGAAGTTCCTCGAATAGCACTGTACCATCCTCATCAACATCATTATTAACTCAGGTAATGCTACACTGGGAACTTTCCAAAATTAATATCCCTGTTTTGAATATTTTAAGAATGAATATCCATAGTTTTGACAAACTTGTATTTTACCAACAGGTTGCTGTCGAAAGACATTCTCAACAACCCAGTTCAAATTTGAGATGTAATAGGGCTCTATGCCATGAAGTTCTGAGTATTTTAAAAAGATGTTTCACACATGAGGTGGAAGTCCGTTTGCATCTTTATAAACGTAAATTCAAAGTTAATATCAAATTTTAGACAGCGAAATATTATCTATTGATAAAATATTGTTTCAGACCTTCATGAAGTGATAAATATGAATCCTGAACTCTCTGAAGAGATTGCCCAAGTGCTCTTGGATCATTTTTCAAAATATTATGAAGGAAATGACGCAGAGATCTTGCCACCAATAAAATTTGACAAATGTTCAGAGTTCCAGGGTACAGACGCTATCCTTCGTGAACCCATTGCCCATCTGATATTTCTCCTACAAAAAATCTATTTATTAAATGCTTCAAGTAATTCTCCAATTTTTGAAAAACTGGCACACATTCTTGAATTGCTTTGCAAAAACATGAGTAAAACGGAATTGGAACACTGTAATCTGGTAATATACAAAAAACCTTTTTTGCCAAATTATTAAATACTATCAACAAGATAAAATAACTTACAGTCGTTATAACTCACAAGCATATCCCGTTCTCTTCTTAAGGATGACAGGACTGAACTTCTGGATAATGGACCAAAAGCCCAGCAAAAATTAAACAGCTTTAAATTAATGGCTAACGTTTACGAAGCACTGATGTCTTTTAGAATTCTATCCTGGTGTTCGACTAGTGTTCGTACAGCCAAAAACATTTTTGAATTATTCGAAGGATACAATCGTTTATCAAATTTCAACAAGGTAATAAGATATTTAAAAAAAAAACTTTGATATCTCAAGTCTTATACTCTATCTTATTTTAGCAAATGAGCAAATCGAAAAAAGGCGACGCGAAAGGGAAAAAAGATAAGGATACTACAACAGATACTAAGAAAGCTGGTGGCAAGCCTACCGTAATTAAATTGCCTAATACGATAATGGATCTGGATACCATGTCGAAAATTTTAACGCTGCTCTATCAGTAATTATTAGAAGCTATAAATGGTTACTTACAAATGTCGCTTATAACACTGTTATAAAATTTCTTTGAATTCTCCTTACCAGTGATTCTGTGCCATGGGCAAGCAAAGGACAAGCAGACTTTCTCCGTAACCAACAGAACTTTCATCGTTACATTTTGCAAACATGTTTGCAACTCTTTCAAAATGCAAAATCACTCAAGGATACCGAACTGGTACTTCATGAAAAGCAATACAGGAAGCGCTATCTGGAGATCGGAAGGTAATTGCATAATAATATTCATGCCAAGAAAACATTTTCTATATTCCATATAATTTCTTCTTTCTCTTTCCAGACTTTTTTACAAGCATATAGTCAACCCATTGAAAGACTTGCGAGAATTCGATGAACAAACTGCACTCGTAGGTGTGGAATGTTTCAAAGAAATTTGTGAACTAATGTGCGAGACCTTTCCATCTCTTCTAGAAAAATTCCTGAGCATAACTGGTGGGTTTTTGGAATAATTTGAGAAAAAGTTGCCTATTGGGATAACGCAAAAATATCTAGCTTATAATGAGAATTTTTCAGGAGAAGAGATTGCCACTAATAGTGGTCTGAGTTCGCAATTGAGTGGATTAATCATGCCATTGACAGCACGTGTGAAAATGTGTTACGATGAAATCACAGATGAAGAAGACGGTGCGAGTTGGGGTCGAATTCCAATAATTCTTTTAGAAACTGTTTCAATTCTGGTGCATAAAATTCCTTTCCATGAAACCTTGGCTGCCAAGGTATGGCTTTAAACTAGAAATTGAACTTTATTTGCTTACTCTCTAATCTCTAATTTTAATTATTATATACCTCAACTAATCATCCCTCATATAGATTTCTAAATGGCTAGTCGATCTAGCTAAGTCAACTACTGCAAGTCATCCCGTGCCTAATATCCTTTTAGAATTGATATTAACTATCGAGGAACGCACGTCGGATAGTGGAGACTTACTTCTCGAATTTTCGAAAATGATCTGCGATGTTTTAAACACTATTGACGAGGTTAATATCCATTGCCATATGTTAATTTTTGTTACAAATATTTCTTATGCTAAAATATCTGTGTTTTACTTTGTTTATGTACTCACGTAAAATACTTCAGAACACGGAATCCATTGATGACATTTACAAGATAATTAACAGCGATACGGCTACACAAGTATACGAAAATTTAAATGATGCTTTGAAGTACAAATTGAAAAATATTCCGTGGCTTCTGGGAAGATTAAAAGCAGACCTACGACTGTCGATCGCGATTGGCATGGACGATGAAGAACGTGAGATACCAAAATCTTAAATAAGCAATTGTTCATTAATATCAGATCAACTAATGTGAATAATTTTGTAGAAGATATTATGCGTAAAAAGGAACGCAGCCTATGCGAACAAATGATTCACATTATGAATATTTTGTTGGTTCTATCGAACGCTGCTATTGAATCCAGTTCTTGCATTATTGCCATATTAAAAAATATGTATTTATTGTATCAGGAATGGTACAATCTAATTCAGTATTTTATGACGAAATCTAATCACCACAAGGCGCCATTCCAGGATGTAAGGTAAGAAAGAATTAAATCAGAAATAAAGAAATCGATTACATAAATTGCCAATACATGTGAGATAATTTTAACAATTCAATTTCAGATTTGTCGCCGTCGTAAAGATCGCTGGATATCATTTACAAGAAAACTTCAACAATCTGTCTAGTCATGTTACGGTAGAAAACCTTCACCTTCAGTTATTCGCTATTATTAATCTTGAGTATTTGTGAATTATTTTGTTATTTCATTTCGTACTTGATTTTCCAACAGAAATTACGAAACAACACAACACGAAAGACCGATGGAGTTGCACACAGGAACCAAGTTTATAAGGAAACACAATTAATACCAAAAGTTATTAAGATATTGGAAAAGAGTTATTCTAACATTGTGATACTTAGCAAAAAAACAAATGTAAGTAAAAATATTTAGTGATACTTTATACGGTAAGTATTTTTTTTCCCATCTTATATTTATTCTTCGATAGATTCCTTTGGATCACTGTGTCAAACGTGGAGCAATACGAGACTTTAAAATTGATGATGTCAAACTCATGAAGGGACTCGAGAGACTTGATATGACTATGGTAAAGCCGTGTATTAAATATTATAATATGAGTAACTTTACATATTTCAAAAACGATTACTTTCAAATAATGCATATTTATTTATTAGACTACTCAAAATTCGACAAGAGCAGCAGTAAGTCAAATCAATAATACTAACAGTGATGAAAGTGATGAGGAACTAAACGTTTCACCGTCAAAGAGGTTGTGCACCTCTAAATCAACACAGTGAAAAATAATGTTATAATTTTAACATAACATAACCAACCAAAGTGCCTATTGTTCTCATTATATTTTTCTACATTTTATATATAAAATAAAAAAGAATATTTACACGAAATAATGTTTTATTTTATTCGATATTCTTACCTTTCAACGAACATCTGATCACTGAAGTTAAAGAAAATTCACAATAATCGTCTATTATTCTTTCAATAAAGTTTAGCACTATATATATATGCATAAAGAAAAGTTCACTTCAACTAGACCATATTTTTTATGCCACAAAGTCCAGTGGTCTATTAAAACCACCCTTCCGATTCATGTATTGTCTGTACTTTCGTTTTAATATAACGTGAACTGCACCCACGTCATTGCCTTCTACTTTTTTCCCTTTAGTTGTATCGAATCCACAGAAACCCATCATTTTCATCATTTCTTGCTCCTCTGGAGTCTTACCTTGTAAGTCGGCCTCTTTAAAAAAGAAATTACATTTTTGTGTAACAAATTATATATTATTATATTATTAATATAGCTAAATTACCTGTAATGACTGGACGTTCTGCTGTGGGTGGCTTAGATTTTGGTTTTGGCCTGTCACGATCTCTAGATCTAGATCTACTATATGATCTTCTGTGTCTATCACGGTCTCTCTCTCGTTCCCTGTCCCGGTCTCTTGATTTAACTCTGTCACGATCCACTGATCTATATATAATATAAAAATTTGATTAATTCTTTAATTGTACCATGCATTACTACTCCTCTCAACTGTCTCATTAGTCTCCTTACATAAAATGCCTAATAGTACAAACCTGCGTCTTCTTTCTCGCGAACGTCTTCTACGTCGATCCCGTTCACGATCACGTTCCCTAGAACGATCTCTCCGTCTTCCTGGAGACGGAGTACGACTGCGTCCCGTCCTGAAACATTAAAAGTAAAGAATTCAATACTGAGTAACAAACACCCTAATTTACAAAGAATATGAAAAAGGTTAGATATTTCCAAAACTTACGGCATTTTCAGGTTTTCACAACGTTATTGGTTAATTTTCAAATCATTACCTGTAAAGGGAAAAAATTAATATATATCTCTTTATAATTTATATATTTTTCAGTATTATTTTCTGTTTTACAAACCAAATTGTTTAGTAAAACCTAACCTTGTCATACAGATTTCAGCTGACGCGTCTAACTTGCGTTTGACACTCTAGAACCCATGTTGTATTTATCAACTATGGACATTTGAAGATTAATATTTGTACATGAAACATCCTATATCAAATTTATATTACAAATAATTATCAATTTGTACAATATTACTCAATCTGAACAAAAAATGCAAAACAAGCTTCCATAAATGGAATTATTCTTGAGAAAGGAAGAAAATCTAAAATCCTTCACAACAGCCTTTGATAGCCGTGATCGTCTAGTGGTTAGGACCCTACGTTGTGGCCGTAGTAACCCAGGTTCGAATCCTGGTCACGGCAATGTGTAAAAGCATTGTCACGGTAAAGGCATAATTTTTTCATTTTTTTTATAACTTATCAACATGAACATACATATACGCAGAATATCAGTTAGCTACAATGCACAGATTTTTCAAATAATATTCAATCGTTCAACACTACAATTAATTTTAAAAATATAAGAGTGTCCAACAAGTGATAAAAAGAACAAAAATATTTTAATCATGTTTAATTACACATGATTACACATATTCGTATTAGATGGACGCTTAAAATTTGTCATCGATGACTTATTTCAATCTTACAGAATAGATTATTCAGGAGTACATATAGGTACATCAAAACTGAAGCGAATTCATGAAATATTGAAAAAATAGTACACTATATTCTTCAAGTGGAAACTCAACTCTACATATTAAACATTGATTATTCATATAATCCATCTATGTTACCTTACGTCATTGTTATTGGCCGTAACATTGAAGGCTGGGTGGAACAAGCTACATAGCCACACAGCCATGATACAGTCACGCTCCAGCTATTGAGTCATCGAACCGAATCTTAAAACGTCTGAAATAATATTGCCTTCCCTGCAGCAGTTATTACTCAAGACTTTAACGAAACGAGTATATAATAGATTTCAATGAGATCTACCTAAAATATTTTTGTTACGTTCCACGATTACTATCGTTCCTCCACTTGTTCTCTCATCTTTAAAATTATTCGTTATTGGTATCTTTCGTAGGACGTGAAAACATCCTGTCTCGTCGTACTCTCGGATACGTTTGAATAGCGTGACGGTTTCTCTTCCCATATAAGGTTACCGGCTGCAGCACGATTCTCTTCAGGGTACTGGTTCGCCTTCGCGTCCCTACAGCTCGTTTCAAAAAATACAGACAATATATCACAGTCTACGCTAGACATAGAACATAACCTTATTTCTTTAAAAGAGTCAATCGAGAATCGATAACTTTCGATAAAGGGACACACATTTCGATTCTATAGGACGTTTAAAAAATATCAACTACTTAAGATCGTTTTATACTTTACACTTGTTGAATTCTGATTGCGCCAAATATTTAGCAGCTTGCCGAAAAATTGTGCACACACTTTACTATTCATTTGGATGAGAAATCATTAATGATCTTAGGCCTGTTTTTACTATGAAAATAAAATTGACAGTAGGAAAACATAGTAGGAATGGAATTGGAGGATTATAAGGAGTAAAACGACGTAACTAGGTACGATTACTTAATTGCTGTACCAGACTGGTCGACAATTCCAATAAAGGAATTGATACATAAATTGAACGTAACCTGCGTAGGTAGGATATGCCACATTAGAGGACTAGTACATATATAGTTTGGTTGGGTTTATCAGATATAAGTATATACATGATCTCATCACCTTATGTGGAACATACATGACGTCAGATTCCAGTGTAAAATGGTCGCTTCATTTGTACGAAGGTTCCAGTGGATGCTACTTTTTGCATTCAATCACACAGCATATACCAAAATAAATGATAGGTAAAATATCGCACGTTACATTTCAAAATATTTGAACGTTTTAAAGATTTTTATGAGCAATATAATTATTATATTTTTTAGATCCTTAGAAAATTGTTATTCAAATTATCGTTAAGGTAGTGGGTAGAGGAAAGTATCTTTTACGAAGGATTACACCCACTGACTGCCCACGTATTAAAATACGTATCACAAAATCAATTCGAACTTCATTTTGTCGATTGAAAATTGTGGATTGTAAATTTATTAAAGATATTCAACATTTAATAGAATATGTATCTAATCGTATGGGCGTTGTCCTTACTCAATTGTAGAATATGATAAAAGCGTCAGAGATTAATTGTATAGATATACATACAGTTAAAAAATATGCGTTTATATAAATTCTTTCGTGATAATACAAATTTAGAATATTTCGATAATGTTAAACGAAGAAAATTTATCTGAGTTGAATGTTCTTTGGGACAACAAGAATCTCTCCAAAAATTTTGTCGCGTTACTCTTAGAAACTCTGAGTCTATAAATAGCTACCCTTCAAGAGGGTACAGTACCCCTCTTTCCTTATTTTACTTTATTTTCTTTCTTTCCATCCCGTCTACATGCCACGTGCTAAATTCGTCTCAGCGACCGAATATCCTTTTCGTCGTCCATCCAAACGCCAGGGTACCAACGTTTGTCAGCTAAATAACTTACGAATTACCAAAAATCTTATGTTCAAAATTTCCAAATGAAAAATATGTCTTCCACCAGGTATAAGGCTCGATTGCGTAATGACACGTCATTCAAGGCTAGTTAATATTTGCATTGCATTAAGAAAATACTCAGCTGCCTACAAATGTTAAACTGTTCAATTTACTAGTAACTTAATTTTCTGAATATAAATAAAGCAAAAAATACAGGCAAGATTAATAAAAAGAACTATAACATTGTCCGTATTTCTGGATAAGAATTGTCGAGTAGTCAATTTAAAGAAGAAATTTTTCACCTGAATTTTAATATTGAAAAATTTATTAATCACTTAAAACAAGCAATAACTTTTGGTTGATATTGAGAGTAATTAATATTGTTGAAAATAATGCAAATTTTAACGGCGGATATGGTGAGTTTAGAACGGCATGTAAATCATGGAATGAATAAATGTCCCCAGTGCCGTAGACCCCGATCGAGCAGCCAATAAGAAGTTACCAACGCGGAGCCCAAGCCTATAAAAGCCCCGAGATCATTTTCGAATTCATCAGAACGCTAAGATCGTTTAGACGAGCTCCATCGCCAGCTTCGCCTAAACATCCCAGAACCAGTTTTACAGTTCCAGTTTGATACTCGTTTCGTTTCGTGTTACCTTCGAGACCGCCAAGATGGTAAGCTTAGAAAAGACGAACAGTGTTGCCATATTAAAGAGAAGTGGAAAATGCATAAGAATTTCGTACACGTGACAAGTTTTTCTCGGTTAAATAAATAAATAATTAATATTATTTTTGTATTTTGAGAATACGGATTTTAATATTTAAATATATTTTGTCAACATTGTGAAAGAATTTCGTACACGTGACAAGTTTTTCTCGGTTAAATAAATAAATAATTAATATTATTTTTGTATTTTGAGAATACGGATTTTAATATTTAAATATATTTTGTCAACATTGTGAAAGAATTTCGTACACGTGACAAGTTTTTCTCGGTTAAATAAATAAATAATTAATATTATTTTTGTATTTTGAGAATACGGATTTTAATATTTAAATATATTTTGTCAACATTGTGAAAGAATTTCGTACACGTGACAAGTTTTTCTCGGTTAAATAAATAAATAATTAATATTATTTTTGTATTTTGAGAATACGGATTTTAATATTTAAATATATTTTGTCAACATTGTGAAAGAATTTCGTACACGTGACAAGTTTTTCTCGGTTAAATAAATAAATAATTAATATTATTTTTGTATTTTGAGAATACGGATTTTAATATTTAAATATATTTTGTCAACATTGTGAAAGAATTTCGTACACGTGACAAGTTTTTCTCGGTTAAATAAATAAATAATTAATATTATTTTTGTATTTTGAGAATACGGATTTTAATATTTAAATATATTTTGTCAACATTGTGAAAGTGCTTCGAAAGTTATTTATAAAATATTAAGTGGTTTCAGTTGATTTATTCAACACTAGGTGCCTGACTCGATGTATTTAAGATATTTGAAAAAGGCAATTTTAAATAAATTCAAGGTCAAAATACCTTAACTGCCATGAATTGAACATCGTATCGTGATGAGGATACTGGACAATTAAAATTACAATCCAATAATTACCATTTATGATGAAGTTCGATCATATTTGAGACAGACCGTAATCTAATCTACGTCTGATTATTGCTATTTACGATCCGAGTCGTCTGTATTCAATTCGCAAGTTTAATACCGGCTTGATTATATATCTGCTTACGTTGCAGCCACCAATAGCATACTGTAGATAATACCGACAGTGCCGCTACTGAATAATAAGATGCCCTGTGCTAAGAGGACTAATAAATTCCGTATTTCTTTTCTAGCGTGAATGTATCTCCGTCCACGTTGGCCAAGCCGGTGTCCAGATCGGTAATGCCTGTTGGGAACTTTACTGCCTGGAGCATGGAATTCAGCCGGACGGTCAGATGCCGTCTGACAAAATGCTTGGAGGTGGGGATGACAGTTTTAATACCTTCTTCAGTGAAACCGGTGCTGGAAAGCATGTACCCAGGGCCGTATTCGTCGACTTGGAGCCCACGGTAGTCGGTAGGTTGATAACCTCAAAATAATTGAACAGGGTGTGTCCGTATATATAGTATACATATTACGTATAGTGTGTGCAGATGTATACTGTGCATAGAGTATATAGTATAGTAACACCCTGTAAGTGGATACTCGGAACTATGGTATATGCTTATATGGCATTCTACAGATGAGGTTCGTACTGGAACCTACAGACAGTTGTTTCACCCTGAACAATTGATTACCGGCAAGGAGGATGCGGCAAATAATTATGCTCGTGGGCACTACACCATTGGAAAGGAAATCGTCGACTTGGTGCTTGACCGCATCCGTAAGCTGGCCGACCAATGCACGGGACTTCAGGGATTCCTGATCTTCCACTCCTTCGGAGGAGGCACCGGATCTGGCTTCACTTCTCTTCTCATGGAACGTCTTTCCGTGGACTATGGAAAGAAGTCCAAATTGGAATTCGCTATCTACCCTGCACCTCAAGTCTCCACTGCTGTGGTTGAACCCTACAACTCCATCCTGACCACCCACACTACCTTGGAACATTCCGACTGCGCTTTCATGGTTGACAACGAGGCTATCTATGACATCTGCCGCCGCAACCTGGACATCGAGCGACCAACCTACACCAACCTGAACAGACTGATTGGTCAGATCGTCTCCTCGATCACGGCTTCCCTGCGCTTCGACGGTGCACTCAACGTCGACCTTACCGAGTTCCAGACCAACTTGGTGCCCTACCCTCGCATCCACTTCCCTCTGGTGACCTATGCTCCAGTCATCTCTGCCGAGAAAGCCTACCATGAACAGCTCTCGGTCGCCGAGATCACCAACGCCTGCTTCGAGCCAGCTAACCAGATGGTCAAGTGCGATCCTCGTCACGGAAAGTACATGGCCTGCTGCATGTTGTACAGAGGCGACGTCGTCCCTAAGGACGTAAACGCCGCCATTGCCACCATCAAGACCAAGCGCACCATCCAGTTCGTCGACTGGTGTCCCACTGGATTCAAGGTCGGCATCAACTACCAGCCACCCACTGTCGTACCTGGTGGTGACTTGGCCAAGGTACAGCGTGCTGTCTGCATGTTGTCCAACACCACGGCCATCGCCGAGGCTTGGGCTCGTCTCGACCACAAGTTCGACCTGATGTACGCCAAGCGTGCTTTTGTGCACTGGTACGTCGGTGAGGGTATGGAGGAAGGTGAATTCTCCGAGGCCCGCGAGGATCTCGCTGCTCTTGAGAAGGACTACGAGGAAGTCGGCATGGACTCCGTCGAAGGCGAAGGCGAAGGCGCTGAGGAATATTAAATAATTCCACTAAAATTTTGTAACATCTCTATCTGTACCTAGATAGTTGATCTGAAATTAAATGCCTTCATACTTTCTTTAAAATCTTGTATCTTTTTTTATTCCTCCTCTCCAATCAATTTCTACTATCATAAAATCAATTCAAGTATTCATTACACGGAAGTAGCGTATTCTATTTCATTTTAGATTTGAGTATTCGCTAAAGGCACCTTATTGATTTAGACGCGACAAAAAGCAGTATATTCCTCTTGACGGAACCACTCTATATAGGGCTTTCAACTTTATTGATCTGCCAGGACATATGACTCAACCCTGCGAAAAGGACCAGACCAATGAGGCTCCAGCGCTTAGCAGGGTATATATTGCCAGCAGGGGTGTGTCTCCTCTCACAGTTCTCCCTGTACGTTCGAGGCAGTAAGTTTGGTGAGGCTCCATTGCCAGCTATCGCTAAATTTTAATCTCTTTAACGTTGTGAACAGAAGGACACTTTAGACCAAAATGGTATGTACATAATATATGAGATTAGAATACGTCTAAAAGTACACAAACGAGAATAAGAACAATAGCACCGATGAAGATCTGAAGCAGAATATGATTCAATGTGAAAACAAATATTAGACAGTTTGAAATTATATAATTCTATCTCTGTAGTTAATGGGCAAAAATATTTAAAGCAACTATACATTTGAATTATTATTCTCTAGCGCGAGTGTATCTCTATCCACGTTGGGCAAGCTGGCGTCCAGATTGGAAATGCTTGTTGGGAGCTTTACTGTCTTGAACATGGAATTCAGCCTGATGGGCAAATGCCATCTGATAAGACTGTCGGAGGTGGGGATGACAGTTTTAATACCTTCTTCAGCGAAACTGGAGCTGGGAAGCACGTACCTAGAGCAGTCTTCATTGATCTGGAACCAACTGTAGTTGGTAAAGACCATAGTTATTCGTTAAATAACATATTTTTAATCACAAGACTAATAAAATAATTAATTATTCTTATGATGCTTCAGATGAGGTTCGAACTGGTACTTATCGTCAGCTCTTCCATCCTGAACAATTGATAACCGGCAAAGAAGATGCAGCAAATAACTATGCTCGAGGACACTACACCATTGGCAAGGAAATCGTGGATCTTGTACTGGATCGAATCCGTAAGCTGGCCGACCAATGCACGGGACTTCAGGGATTCCTGATCTTCCACTCCTTCGGAGGAGGCACCGGATCTGGCTTCACTTCTCTTCTCATGGAACGTCTTTCCGTGGACTATGGAAAGAAGTCCAAATTGGAATTCGCTATCTACCCTGCACCTCAAGTCTCCACTGCTGTGGTTGAACCCTACAACTCCATCCTGACCACCCACACTACCTTGGAACATTCCGACTGCGCTTTCATGGTTGACAACGAGGCTATCTATGACATCTGCCGCCGCAACCTGGACATCGAGCGACCAACCTACACCAACCTGAACAGACTGATTGGTCAGATCGTCTCCTCGATCACGGCTTCCCTGCGCTTCGACGGTGCACTCAACGTCGACCTTACCGAGTTCCAGACCAACTTGGTGCCCTACCCTCGCATCCACTTCCCTCTGGTGACCTATGCTCCAGTCATCTCTGCCGAGAAAGCCTACCATGAACAGCTCTCGGTCGCCGAGATCACCAACGCCTGCTTCGAGCCAGCTAACCAGATGGTCAAGTGCGATCCTCGTCACGGAAAGTACATGGCCTGCTGCATGTTGTACAGAGGCGACGTCGTCCCTAAGGACGTAAACGCCGCCATTGCCACCATCAAGACCAAGCGCACCATCCAGTTCGTCGACTGGTGTCCCACTGGATTCAAGGTCGGCATCAACTACCAGCCACCCACCGTCGTACCTGGTGGTGACTTGGCCAAGGTACAGCGTGCTGTCTGCATGTTGTCCAACACCACGGCCATCGCCGAGGCTTGGGCTCGTCTCGACCACAAGTTCGACCTGATGTACGCTAAGCGTGCCTTCGTGCACTGGTACGTCGGTGAGGGTATGGAGGAAGGTGAATTCTCCGAGGCCCGCGAGGATCTCGCTGCTCTCGAGAAAGACTACGAGGAAGTTGGCATGGATTCCGCAGAGGGAGAAGGCGAAGGTGCTGAGGAATATTAAACAAATCCATCAGTTCGCACATCTAAGAGATTTACTACGGAGGATATATCACATCCAATAATGGAAATATATCTTTTGTAACTTGTGTACTGAAATACAGAAAATAACAAGAATATCTAAAAAATACTCGATTTCTCATTATTTCTTCCTTACAAATTAAATTTTTCATGTAGTGCAACTAATTTATATACTTTTTATGAATGAGAATCCCTGCTATCCCAAACGGCACACCCTGCAGGCAGCTGTTCACAAATTCTCTACAGGCTTCCTTCCCTGCAGCTGCTCTGTAAAAACAACTTTTGCGTTCAGAATACTTTTTTTAAATAGCAATGATGGATCTACAAGAATGATATCAATTCTCAAAATAATGGAACGATTCATGCAGAAAATTGTAATAAATATATTACGTAAAAAATAATGGACAACAACCCCAATAAAAAATATGGGCTAGTCCATTCTTCCTTTTCGGCATTGTAATCACAGAAAGTATTTGTCATCACCTGATTTAACTCAAGTTGAACTCAAGATTTTTACACCTTAATGAGAACTCAGAGAAAGTTTTCTTGTTTATCTGGAACAGGCAAGAGGGTCTCGGTCGATGTTCTTTTTCAGGTAAAAAATATATCTTAGGACTCGTTTCGCCAAGATTCCCACTCACCAGACAGAAGTATACCGCGTTAATCTAGAATAGATTTCATACATAGGCCAATTTCGGTATCAAGAAATACACACCTTTTCCTATTTACTATACCACAAATAAAAGACAAGTTCCAAAAATGCCTTTTCACATCATATTACACGTACAGACGACTTTCTCCTTCTCGAAATGGTACATTTGCAGCAATCCAATGCAGAGAATTAAGCAGATTCGTTTGAACGCAGAGAAGAATCATGTCATGCCACCATAAAAAGGCTGGTTACGTGAGGTTGATCGATTGTATAAAATGTCCATATAAGGAATACCAAGCTTTTTGTAGCATTTATGATTGTTGAAGCTTCTTATCAAATTGAGGGATATGATATAATTTCATTTTACAATCGTAAAAGCAAATATCATAAGAAGAGTAGGAATGCATATACATTTTTATCATAAAACCCGGTAAAAAACAGAAATAAACCGTTAGTTACATGGCGGCCGGTTGTCACGCTTGACAGGACTGACCATATACCACGAATTGCAAATATTTCATCGTGTAATTCGATAAGTAAACCAATCCAAATGGTAATATAATTCTGCAAACGGAAAATCATAATGTGGGAGGTGTTTGAACCATTAGTCACCATAAAAAAGTATAATCGCGTTTTGACAGACGCAGGGACTACATTTCTGGTATATGGAACCTTTCAGGCGCGACTGGGTACTGCGGTCAAGGCTGCACCAATCAGAATACCCGTGAGGGAATCATTAGCCAATGGGGACTATGCAGAAAGAATGGCCGACCGAGGGTATAAAAGCACTGTCGGCGTCGGTCGCGAAGTATTCGCTTGGCTTACGTTCTCGCAGTCGTTCACAGAAGTTCCATTACCAACTTCTGCTAACTCGATTTCGTATTTCTTGTCGAAGAAATAAAACCAATCAATCCTCAAAATGGTAAGTGCTATCAGAGATACGTGAATTGTACGCAGATTTCAAGATGCAATCAAAAATTGTCGAATTCTAAGAATACAAATACATTTGCAGTTCGTTTAATAATCTGAGTGTTTAGTCCTATTGGAGCGTTTTTGCTGCTTTTGTTTTATTGTAGATTAGTATAGTTAAGGGTTTGATGATTCAATCTCGAGATTCTTTTGTTCCAAAAAGACGCCATCTTGTCCAGTAAGCATATACCGGCCGGCTCCACCCTACTTTGGATTAACGAGCCATGTTTCCTCGTCAATTTTGCTTGTATTTTCCTGGTAGTCTTATTAAGAATGGTTGCCTTATTTTATTGTACTGCATAAATTCATTTTCATATTAATGAATTGGGGTGAATATCAAATTCTCAATACATATCTTCATTATTAAAGAAACGTGGCGTGGGTTTTGTAAAGTAAACGTTTTTACCGCAACATTATTTCCTTGTCTTTTGTATGATCAATTTTCTGTAGTCTTATCATTCTGTAGTCTTATTTATTCTACTGCAGTATATCAAATCAATAGTATGCGCGAGTAACTACTATATTTTATATTAATCAATACTTCCCACTCCTCCGGGTGTGTTCACTCAGCCCTGTCGTTATTAGCCTTGCAGGATTCTAACCGTTGAATCACCTTTTCCCTAGATTAAAGATGGCGGCTCATGTTGCTCTACTTTAAAATTCTTGTACAGTTGGTAATAACGTTGAACCGTTAATTATATACAACATGAATTTAAATATTCGACTTTTTTTTAATTGACTAATTGGAAGATAAATTTATGCAAGGAAATTTGGATACGCAGAATTTACTCATGTGATGTAATTTTTCTTGTCTTTTTTCAGCGTGAGTGCATCTCTATCCACGTTGGACAGGCTGGAGTTCAGATCGGTAATGCCTGCTGGGAGTTATACTGTCTGGAACATGGTATCCAGCCGGACGGTCAGATGCCATCTGACAAGACCATCGGTGGAGGTGATGACAGTTTTAACACCTTCTTCAGCGAAACCGGAGCCGGCAAACACGTCCCAAGAGCGGTATTCATTGATTTGGAACCAACTGTAGTCGGTAAGATATTCATCATGGCGAATTTTTGCATAGCCTGATTAAAATAAGTAACAAATTACTAAACATATTTTCTTTTGGAACAGATGAGGTTCGCACCGGAACTTACCGCCAGCTGTTCCATCCTGAGCAGCTGATTACTGGTAAAGAGGATGCCGCTAACAATTATGCTCGTGGGCACTACACTATTGGAAAGGAAATCGTCGACTTGGTGCTGGACCGCATCCGTAAGCTGGCCGATCAATGTACGGGACTTCAGGGATTCCTGATCTTCCACTCCTTTGGAGGGGGCACCGGTTCAGGATTCACATCGCTTCTCATGGAACGTCTTTCCGTGGACTATGGAAAGAAGTCCAAATTGGAATTCGCTATCTACCCTGCACCTCAAGTCTCCACTGCTGTGGTTGAACCCTACAACTCCATCCTGACCACCCACACTACCTTGGAACATTCCGACTGCGCTTTCATGGTTGACAACGAGGCTATCTATGACATCTGCCGCCGCAACCTGGACATCGAGCGACCAACCTACACCAACCTGAACAGACTGATTGGTCAGATCGTCTCCTCGATCACGGCTTCCCTGCGCTTCGACGGTGCACTCAACGTCGACCTTACCGAGTTCCAGACCAACTTGGTGCCCTACCCTCGCATCCACTTCCCTCTGGTGACCTATGCTCCAGTCATCTCTGCCGAGAAAGCCTACCATGAACAGCTCTCGGTCGCCGAGATCACCAACGCCTGCTTCGAGCCAGCTAACCAGATGGTCAAGTGCGATCCTCGTCACGGAAAGTACATGGCCTGCTGCATGTTGTACAGAGGCGACGTCGTCCCTAAGGACGTAAACGCCGCCATTGCCACCATCAAGACCAAGCGCACCATCCAGTTCGTCGACTGGTGTCCCACTGGATTCAAGGTCGGCATCAACTACCAGCCACCCACCGTCGTACCTGGTGGTGACTTGGCCAAGGTACAGCGTGCTGTCTGCATGTTGTCCAACACCACGGCCATCGCTGAGGCTTGGGCTCGTCTCGACCACAAGTTCGACCTGATGTACGCCAAGCGTGCCTTCGTGCACTGGTACGTCGGTGAGGGTATGGAGGAAGGTGAATTCTCCGAGGCCCGCGAGGATCTCGCTGCTCTCGAGAAAGACTACGAGGAAGTTGGTATGGACTCTGCCGAAGGAGAAGGTGAAGGTGCTGAAGAGTATTAAGCACTACAACAACGTGACCTGTCTTCATATTTCCATGGAGATTTAAGAAAAGGAATTTTCTATTTGACAAGACAGATTAATGACCTTCCCTCGAAATAAAAGAATTTCGTAACTCCTAATGATGCTTCTTATTCAATGATCATACATCTATCCTACAATCCAAAATCCCTAATACTTATTTTAATTTTTAGGACATATAAATTAAGTTCGTTTTTGAGTCATTAATTTTTTCAATTACAACTCATTGGTAGCATGTAAAATTTTTTATTTCAAGAATTCTTTAAACTTTTGTCCATATATGTTCTCTAATCCAATCTTGCAATATTTCCACAAGATGGAAGAGCCTATGGAATGGGTAATTGAGAAAGGCGGGTTTTCTTCAACTATTCGAGCATTACAAACATTACAAAAGCGAAGTTATCAGTATTTTTCGTGTCGACATTCGCTTGAATCCTTAAAAAACTAAAGTCCCTATTTCTGCATGAGAAATAAGGAACCTAGCGTATCTTTATATTCTTATTTTTTTGCTAAAAGTAATAAAAATAGAAACAAAAATTTCGAAGCAACTAGTCCTAACTATGTTATATATACAGTGGATTATTTTCAAAAATTAAAACACTTATAAATACAGAAGTGAAGTAGCTTAGCGATCATTAATTCAATCTTAATCAGGTGATGTTAAACTTAGCATAGATCAGTCGCGAAGGCCAGAGTTAGAACAAATCTATGAAAAAACTTTATTTAAAGGATAATCTTGGTAAAAATAAAGTAGAATACAACATCTAAGCAATTACTTCGCTAGTTTTCCAAAAACTGCAAACTTTTACAATCCAATGATTATGAAAATTCTTTTCTTACTTCTAATCCTGGAGAACTTTCAGTTATTACCACTTTTTCTTTATATTACGTGAACTGCGATTTCATAATGATGAAATAATTTTATAAGTTTGATCGTATCAGAACTAATTCAAGTATAATTCGCACTGTACAGAGAGATCCAAAAATTGTTCAATGACAAGTAACGAGTCGGTTTTATATAAAATACCAAAAAAAATTTTCAAGATGGGTGTAAATTTTCCCAGTTGTTCGAGGGAATAAGTAATTTTATATTTGTACAATATTGCGATTAGATAATAAAATCTATAAAGATAAAATTCTTAGTAAAAGCAAATGTAATCTTATCCAAAGCAAGTAAGAATCCATTACAATAAAAATTACCTAAAAGTCTTTTTTAAATCCTAAAAATTTTATGCATAAAGAAAAAGTTGAGGAAAACTAGAAGTGAAGATATTTGCATGCAGAAATATATATAGAGAGAGTATTAGGTTAGTTCATCAAGACTAAAGAGATAGAACAAAGTGAATTAAAGTAAATGCATTACAGAGTATTCGAAAAACGAAAAAAAATATATATATAATATACATGTGTCCTGTGTATTTTTATTTCTTGCGAATCTCTTTTGTTCCTCTCGCCAATATCTCTTATACAGTTGTTCATCTATTCCTCCTCTCATCCTGGACATTTGAATAATAATAATTAATAATAGTCAATGATGATCAATAATTTTTTTCGTTATGTTAATTACTCACGATAATAATGATAATAATAATTAACGCTTAATGCCCACGATCAAAGATTGCGAAGTCACGATTGATTGGCTCCTTAATTATCTATCAATCGAGAGAAATATACACAATTTGCTGTTAAGCAGTTTTGTTAAAGTCCATGCTGGCTCTTTCTTCCTTACATTCTTTATTTATATATTTTATCACTGCTCCGTAATTCTCCAATTACCATTGCACACGTGATCAGCTTGACTGTCGATGTATTTGACCTAATTTCACCCCGATTGCAATTTCTCACGTGGAAGACAGAATGTAAAAACACCATTGCAGTCTAGCGGATTGTTGAAGTTATTTTTAAGGAGTCACAAGAAAAGAGGAGATAATGACATTACGTAGGCCCGATTCTTCTATTTATTCTTCTTTACCAACATAAATACGGTGTATAATGTGTTCTGTACATACACACATATCGTTTGTTCTGTACTCGTGTTTTCATATTTTTCCCATCTTTTTCAGCGTGTCGTGTTCGTTTTGTCAGGAGCAAAGTTTGAATAAGAAACTCGGATTGGCAATTGCTCCGATCGCAAGAAAAGTTTAGTACGAAATGAATTTAAGATAATTGGACGTGAGTAGTATGTCCTAAAATTGCTTTCCTACGAGTTTTATTCAATTATATATAATACAAAAGTGTGACAGGTCGGACTTCAGAAAAAATGAATTTGATGTACTGTATAAAATTTGAATAGTTAGTCGAAACTGGTAGAATTCAATTCTTTTTTTTTCTTAAGAAATTACGTTGTTCACGAGGAATGATAAATTTTGGCAGTGTTGGATGCTCCTCGAGTCATTGAAATATTAATTTTTGTTTTTTAACTTATTGTGTCTTTTCGTTTGTTTCTCATTTAGTCCGATGTCCGTACCTAACCTTACATAGTCATAAAATGTGGGAAGCCTGTGGCATTCACATAACTTTTTTTAAATTTGACCGATTCATATCGATTTAGGGAATTTATTCGATTAAACGAAGAGAAAGGTATCTCACAATAAATCACTAAGGTTTATTTCCCTTGTCAAGTACTAAGGACAGTGACGAGTGTGCAAAAATGACAATAATTTAAGTATTCATTAAAAACTTGTAACGTCTCTCTGACAATTTTCGTTTCGTAACCATTACTCTAATTCTTCCTATAAAATTGTATTCTACCAAAAGCGCGACAGTGATGAAGTTTGAGAGGAAATAAAAAAGAAAATTTAATAAAGAAAATAAAGAGCCAACGTATATTACATATACCCCCGGCAACAATAATTATAATCCTTAACGAGAGAAAGAGAAAGTATTAAGAAAGAAAAAAAAGATCGTCACCGAATAACCAAACGCATATCTCCCAAGAAAGTAATGTACAATTGCCACGTTAAAGAAAAATCGTAAATAGAAAGTAAATACTCTACAAGAGAGAGGAATAGAAAGAAAAGCCAAAAACCAAGAAAAATTTACAATTTTTTTGTTCCGTTCAATTCATACGATTGAGAGGGTTTTAATAGTACTTAAAGGTACAGGGTTCGAAGAGACTTTATTTCTTTTTTTTTGTTCAAATAAAGTTTCTCCGTCAATACATACAAGGAATCGTCGTCATGCAAATTATATACAGGTGTATTTTTTTGAAAGAAAAAAATAGGGAGAAAACCAAAAAAGAAATTATCTTACAAATAAACGAGTAGTATGATAATCAAGTGTGTCCGCAAAATTGGTTCAATGCCCTAAGCATATTCATTCCATTGAACTCTAGAATCAAAAATTCTCACCACCTTCCCTACGATTCTCTTTCCCTCGCACTGGCATAAATATACACCATCCGAACAAGAAATTGATTTATGTTTCATACGTTACTTTACTTTTTTTTTTCTCATTCTCTACAAAGACCTTAGCGACTCGTAAAATGCATGGTCGTGGCTAATATTATAATATATCCTCGTAAGTTTAATAATTATTACCTTTTATATTATAATATATATATATTTATATATATATTAACTATTACAATAATAGATTGCAATTATCATATAATTCAATAGTACAATTATTATCGTTACGTGATAGCATTTTTTTCTTTATTATTCTGTATTCCTCATCGCTTCGTCGTGCAATTGCATTTTCTCCTATATAAACTTAGCGCGCTTTCACATTACTTTCTTTTCCCATTTTTCTTATTCTCTGTGCCCTTGCCTTCGTTTTCGATTATGTATTTTTCTCGAAAGCTATTTTTGTAATGCATACTTTCGCATTCTTCTCTTCATTCTCCTTGAAACGCAAAATACGTAATAAAAAAAAAGGGAGACGCGTTTAAATTTTGACCAGCACGCGTTCGTTGCGTGCGATTCTTCGGGAGAAATAAATCGAAGAAGAGTGAAAAGAATACAGAGTGAGAAAAAGAGAGAACGAAGTGTGCAATAGTCGTAATGAAATTTTCGAAATGAAAATGAAAGAACAAAGTTGAAAAATAACATGAACAGTAACAAAGAAAGAGAGAAATTCACATGAACCTATGACCGGTGTGTCCATCGAAGAAAAGTTTCAATCGTGAAAATAGTTCAAAGCGAATGTTTATTTGTAATAATGCAGATAAAATTTAATTACAAAGATATAAAGAACGTTTTACGATTATTAAAACGAATCTCACAGCGTCTGACATTGCGTACGTGTAATTTGCCTTTTTGCGTATTTCAGTTTTATATATTCTCGTCGTGCTGCCCCACGTCTGGGATTTACATAAATTTTATTACTCTTAATCTCAAAGAATGTATACTCTTAGTCTCAATTGCTTTTTTGCATAGCAGCGGCGTAAAACGGAGCGTTTCCAAATTTTCCTTTGTTTCCTCTTATATGTATTCTTTTACTTTACCTATTGGAGGTCTGTCACCTTTCATTCTTTACTTTTGTGCATAACGCACAGAGTCAGAGTAAGAAAAGACAAGTACAGTACGACAGTAGGACAGACAGAGGAAGAGCGGAGGAAGAAGAAGAAGAAGAAGAAGGAAATATGTAGAATAAGAAGAATCGAGCGCAATTCGCAAGGCAGCAACATTTACATTATCGACAATTACGAAGCCTCAAGCCCAACAATTAATCGCTTCCGCTAATTATCGAATTGTACTGGTTTGTTGATTATTCGATTAATCAACCACACTACGAATTGACCGTCGGTCCGAAGTCGAGAACCGGACGTCAATTTTATTAAATGACAACCAAAAGAGAAATTCATCCATTTTCAAAATGGACGCCGAAAGTAAAAAATTTGTAGAACGTCACGTTTTACGTTCTTTCTCCCTATTGTTTCTTCGTCTTTCCCCCCCCCCCCC